CAATTATTAGGGAAAGTCTTCGAGGGAGACCACTGTTCCTCAGATAGGTGGATGTGAGTCCCTTTTTGTGAAGTGGGGTTGTGGAGTGCAGATGCATTTGCTGACTGCGTACCTGGCTCCCTGTAATGCAGCGGCGACCCTGCCCGAGCTACTCGATGTCATTGCCGGGGTGGCAGTTAACACCCCCAGACTTATTGTCATGGGGGATTTCAACCTGCCATCCACCGGCGAGGCGTTAGAGGTGGCTCAGGAGTTCATGGCTTCCATGGCAGCCATGGACCTGGCCCAGTTAGTTCAAGGCCCCACTCACAGAGGGGGACACACTCTGGACTTGATTTTCGTCTCTGGTCAGTGGTTGAATGATCTTGGTAGAGGGGACTTAGACATTAAACCCTTGTCATGGACAGATCATTCGCTCCTTCACTTGGACTTTCCAGCTGCTTCCCCCCACCGCAGGGAGACGGAATCGACCAGGTGGTTCCGTCCCAGGCACCTGATGGACCCTGAAAGATTCCTGATGGAGCTTGGGCCGTTTCCTGAGACTGGCACACGACTCGACTGAAGAGCTGGTGGCTGCCTGGGATAGTGCGGCCACCGGAGCTTTGGACTGCGTCATGCCTTTGCGGCCTCTGATCCGATGCCGATCTCAATTGGCACCTTGGTTTTCTGAGGAGCTGAGAGAGATGAAGCATCGGAAAAGATGCCTAGAGAGCATCTGGAGGACTAGTTAATCCGATTCTGACCGAACACTGGTGAGATCTTATATCAAGACCTACCTAGTGGTGATAAAAGCGGCAAAATTTAATTATTTTTTCGCTCTTATCGCATCTGTTCTGTTTAGGGTGACCCACTCCCTTCTTTGGGAGGGAGTGCGAGAAGATCCCTTGCAGGGTCGAGCTGAGGATTTTGTGCAATTCCTGCATGATAAAGTCACTCAGATTCAGGAAGGCTTGGACTCCGATTGGGTGAATCCAGGAGAGGAGACGGGGGTAGGTCTTGAGAATATTATCTGGGAAGAGTTTGATCCTGTGGTTCCCGAGAACGTGGACAGGATTCTGGGTAGGATTAGTGCTGCCACATGTTTATTGGACCCGTGTCCCTCCTGGTTGGTACTGGCCTCCCGGGAGGTTACACGAGGCTGGCTCCAGGGGATTATAAATGCTTCTTTGAGTGAGGGTGCCTTTCCTGCCACCTTGAAAGAGGCGATGGTGAGACCCCTCCTCAAGAAGCCATCCTTGGACCCAGTTATATTAGCTAACTACCGTCCAATCTCCAACCTTCACTTTGTGGCGAAGGTTGTTGAGAGTGTGGTGGCACAACAGCTTCCCCAGTACCTGTATGAAGCTATCTATCTGGATCAGTACCAGTTGGACTTTAGGCAGGGGTACAGCACGGAAATGGCATTGGTCGCATTGGTGGATGATCTCTGGAGGGCTCATGACAGGAGTTGCTCCTCTGTCTTAGTCCTATTAGATCTCTCAGCGGCTTTTAATACCATTGACCATGATATCATGCTGCAGCGGTTGAGGGGGTTAGGAATAGGAGGCACTGTGCTACGGTGGTTCTCCTCCTTCCTCTCTGACCATTCGCAGTTTGTGTTGGCAGGCGGGCAGAGGTCGACCTCGAGGCGCCTTACGTGGGGGGTGCTGCAAGGGTCGGTCCTCTCGCCCCTTCTGTTCAACATTTATGTGAAGCCGGTGGGTGAGATCATCCATGGTTTTGGGGTGAGAGTCCATCAGTATGCTGATGACACTCAGCTGTACATCTCCACCCCAGATGCCCTTGATGTCATGTCCCGCTGCCTGGAGGCTGTGCGGGTCTGGATGGGGAGAAATAGGCTCAGTCTCAACCCTTCCAAGACCAAGTGGCTGTGGCTTCCGGCATCCCGATATTGTCAGCTGGTGCCATCGCTGACTATTGGGAGTGAATCTTTACCTCCCACAGAGAGGGCTTGCAATCTGGGTGTCCTCCTGGATGCACGGCTATCTTTAGAAGAACATATGATGGCCGTGGCCATGGGGGCTTTTTATCAGGTTCACCTGATCCACCAGTTGCGGCCCTTTTTGGACTGGGATGCCTTATGCACGGTCACTCACGCCCTTGTCACCTCCAGGCTGGACTACTGTAATGCTCTCTACATGAGGCTCCCTTTGAAGAGCACTTGGAAGCTCCAACTGGTCCAGAATGAGGCTGAGTGGGTGGTTATGGGCGCGACTCATTGCACCCACGTGACACCTCTCCTATGCGAGCTGCACTGACTCCCATGGTCTTCCGGGTGCGATTCAAGATGTTGGTTACCACCTTTAAAGAGCTCCATGGCATAGGACCTGGGTACCTTTGAGACCAACTTCTGCCACCAACAGCCTCCCACCATCCAATTTGCTCCCACAGAGAGGGACTCCTCAGGGTGCCATCGGCCAAGTTATGTCGGCTGGTGACACCCAGGGGAAGGGCCTTCTCTGTGGGAGCTCCTGCCCTGTGGAATGAACTGCCCCCGGAAATACGCAAGATCTCCGACCTCCGTGTGTTTCGCTGTGTGTTTAAGACCCTGCTGTTCCACCAGGCAGGGCTATCTATGTAAATGATTTTAAATTGCGTGTTTTAAATTTTGGGTTTTAAATTCGGGCCAAAATTGTTTAATACTTTTAACTATTTTAAAACCGCTGTTTGTACCTTGTGTTTTTAATTGGCTGTACACCGCCCTGAGTCCTTCGGGAGAAGGGCGGTATAGAAATTAAATTATAAATAAATAAAATAAAATACAGCATTATTGGGACTGGAATGTGAAAATACAACCTTGCCCCGCCTGTGTATTAGTGATGTGGAATATATATTAGTGATATGGAATTTGTGATGGTCCAGGGCATAGTGTGACACAGTGTCATTGTGTCAACAGATAGTATAGATTTTTTTTTTGGGGGGGCTGTCTTCCATTTAGAATTTTCAAATAGCAAAGTAGGTGTGCTATTTTAAATGAAGTTCAAATGCTCCTACTTTGGTATACGGCTCAGAATTTAAAAAGTTGTCCCTTGCTACTCAATTTTAATGCAGAGATTTGAGAAATTTGGAAACTACATCACATCCACACAAATTTATGAATTCTGTGTTTAGCCACTCCCATTTAATTTGGCATCTTACTTACAAACTGATTAACTGAGGGCACTCACAGAAGGGTTAAAATATTTGAGTGGCAGCAATGGCTGCATGATTTTATTGCATGACTCTATTATTTTTTTACATATGTCATACGTGCAGCCCATGTAAAAAAAAAACAGAGCTGTAGTTATGTGGCTGTAGTCACTATCCCATCTTTTTTGATTTCTCTGATGGACACTCCTGTGATTAACAAACAAATAATCAAATTGAAGCATTTGGCAGATTTGTAATTGGTTACATAAGCTCTACAATCAAAGCCACAGCCTTAAAAAGCAGGCTGTTTATCTGGGGTTGTTTTTGTTCATTTTAATTTCAGATTTACTTAATCATTGAATTACATTCCAGTTTGTTTTGCTTCCTCATTTCTTTCTAGGAGATGACAAAAATGGTATTCAAACAGGTAAGTGGCCCTTAAACAGGTAATAAGGGGAGGGACTTCCTCAATTGTATATGAGTTTCCTACAACTGAACACTATCAAAGACAGGGAAGATTTAGTAGCTCAATGAGGAAGGAATTGTAAAAATGACTTCACTGAAAATAATTTAACATAAAACCTTTCCTGAATTGGCCCTCTCAGGTTTTACATCTGTGCTTGCTTCCCTTCTGCACACTGTCCTGGTTTTGGCAAGTACAAACTGCAGTTTCGTGTTAGCAAAGACTTATGCTCTTTTCTGCCAGACAAAAGAACAAATATCTGCCGTATCTTCTTCATCCTTTTGTTTCCAAGATGGTGTTTTTTCCAGCCATGTAGTGATGTGTTAATCTTTAACATTTTGCAGCTTCTAAAGCTGAGAGAGGGAGAGGCTAATAATGAGATTACATCATAGGGGGATTAGGGCTAAAAAAAATCAAACACTTCTTTGTTGTCAGGAACTGTCAGGTGGGAACAATGAGACCTACATGTGCAGAGTTCAAGCTAACTACTTTATTATGTTCTGCCTATAATATAGGAATCTCCTCAGTCTGGCAGCCTTCTTAGGAATAAATAGATAAGGCTCCAAACAACTTGAGGGGAGGATGACTCAGAGTCACAGCATGGAAAATTAATTATTTTACTTGTATATTTTGTCATGTGGGGACCCCTAAATGAAATTAGGGACCCATACCCTGACTGTGATATGGAATGGATGCTTTCTGGCAGATCAGATGGGGAAGCTGGTAGGGAAATGGGGATTCATTAGAAGTCAAACTTGACAAAGTAGAATAAATTAACACTACCAATTTAAATTTTTAAAAATGCTTTTTATTAGAATTTTTCAACCCAAAAAGAGCAAAATAAAGTAAGAAAAAGAGAATCAAGAAAAAATAATTTAAAAAAAACCATACAATTATGACAGCTTCTGGTGTTTTCTTCTGATTTCTGGCAAAAAACATCCATTTTGTAAAATAGATTCGCTTAACAACCACGGTATTCACTTAATAACCAAGGTGTTTATTTAATGAGTGTTCGGTTAATAACTGTCACAAAAATGCTGAAAAATCAGAACCAGTGTCATGATACCTTGATTTATAACCTCAATGACTTACAATAATAATTCTGGACTCAATTATGGTTGTAAATTGAGGACTTCCTATGGTATCATCAACATCATCATCATCATCATCATCATCATCATCATCATCATCATCAAATCCCTTCAAATTGTAAATAAGTGGCACCTACCCCTAGCTGCAGTAAAGTTGTCCTTTCTTCCTTTATTGTTTGATGTTTGTTATCTCTTGGCCTTTATTCCTTATTCTGATAATTTACAATCCAGAAAACCCTATAATTGTGAGGTCATCTTCCATTTTCTACAACTTTATGTTTTTTCTCTCTCTCTTACACACATTTGTGTTTTCCCAGTATGTGGACAGGTGGTGAATCAGAACCGTATTGTGGGGGGAGAAGATGCTTCTCTGAATGCTTGGCCATGGCAAGTCAGCCTCCAATACCAATGGAAGCATGTCTGTGGAGCGACCCTCATTAGCTCTAAATGGTTACTGACAGCAGCCCATTGCTTCCTTAAGTGAGTAAGTGTGAGAAGGATCAGTTGTGGAATTGCACAGACTTCAGCTCTAACTGCCTAAGCAGCCATTTACTGGAAGTATATAAAAGCAGCATATTATGCTTGTATGTTATGAAAAAAGCTGTTGGTTCTGTGAGGTCTGTTTATTATGTATGCCATCCTGCTCTAGTGTGAGGCCCCAAGAAGTGTTTGATCCAATTCCTGGGAGATCTGAAAATTGTAGGCCAACATATCTAAAAGGGAGCCCGATTAGGAAAGTCTGAAGTACAGCAAAACAAGCAAACAACCAAGCTCAGAGCATCAAGGATTCCACAATTCAACCCTGAGCTACATATATTCTCTTTTGTTGGAAAAATGACTGGGAAACCCTGGATAACCAGGAGGAATGGAAAATTTATTTATTTATTTATTGGTTCGGTTTATATGCCGCCCTTTTCCGGAGACTCAGGGTGGCTTACAATGCATTAAGCAATAGCCTTCATACTTTTGTATATGGGTGGAATGGCTGTATTTCTCAAGTGGAAACTCTCCACCCTCAAATGTTGAACCAGGTAACTGAAATGGATAATTGAAGACAAGTGCTGCAGAATTTTCTTGAAGGGATTAATTCTTATTTGTGGTTCCCAACAGGAATTCAGTACTCTCTGATTACCAAGCCAACTTGGGAAACTACCAGCTGTTGAATCCAGACCCAAATGCTGTGTGGCGGAGACTGTCTCAAGTGGCTGTGCATGAGAACTATACCGGAGATGGATCCAGTGGAGACATAGCTCTGGCTCAGCTAGAGAAACCTGTCCGTTTCACCCAAGGCATCCTTCCAGCCTGTCTCCCAGATGCCAAAATCCAGTTTCCAAAGGGCACCCTTTGCTGGGTAACAGGGTGGGGATCACCTGCATATGGAGGTGAGGAAAGTTGTGGGATGAAGACATGAAGAAGTGAGAGTGGTTCTTCTTTAGCACAGAGACCTCTTAGACTCCAATGTGATGAACCAAGAAAGGAAATGTGAACAAAATGGTTACATTGTATGGTATTTAGGAAACTAGCTAACAGTCTTTCTAAAATTTGATAGTGTTTGTATTTCCTTTGTACGAAGACCACTCAGCATTTCAAAGAACAATTCAGAAATATTGGTGGTTAAATAAGACCAAATTAAATTTACATTTTTTGTGGGCTATTAAAGATATTATACTGTTAAGAGGGATATTAGTTATTTGCAAGAAATTTGGAATAGAGTTGGGACATCCCATTTTGCTATCAGTGGTTAAGGAACTTAATGAATATTAAATATGTTTCCTATGATCTTAAGATGAAATTAATTCAACATTGTTGTTTATGATCATTGGCTGCTTTCAACAATATTTAAATAGAGTTAATTGTCAAATTCATTACGTAGGCTGGATGACTCAACTGACAGCGGGAAAACTAAATTTACATTTTTTGTGGGCACTTAAAGAGTACTGCACTGTTACGAGGGATATTAAGTTATTTGCAAGAAATTTGGAATGATTCTATATTGACTTAATATTCATGATTTTATTAATAGATTTCAAAAAAGTATTATGTACTATGATTCACATATTTGGAATTTATCGCTGTATGGAGACCTATGGATTAAAAAAGCCTGGGATAACAGACTGTATTACCTTGGATTTATATCCTTGGATTGGTGATACGTGGTTATTATCCTGCTTATGAACTAGTTCTTTATTGATGTAATGGAAAAACTCACCAATATTTCAACATTAAGATATCACATTTAAAAATGGAACTTTTTAGATACGTTATGATATATTGCATATTTTTGCTCTTAATTTTATTTTCTCATTTATGCTTGTTTTGATTAGGGTATCTTCTTTTTTCTCTATATTAAGCAATGAACTAAAATAAAAAATAGATGGGCATGTCCATGTCCCTTTCATAGCAGCAATAGAAGTTTCTTAGTCTAATCTAGAATTTCTCAATCTTGGCAACTTTAAGGTGGTAGATTTCAATTCTCAGAATCCCCTAGCCAGAATGCAGATACATTACATAAAATTGAGTGAGGATTTTTGTTTTGTTTTTGTGGCTCTGAACCTGGGTGGTGCCCTTGATGTTCAAAGACCAAGTGGGATCCTGTTCCCCTTCCGTATGAAAAAAGTGAAATTATGGCAAGAATTTAGAACAATTGCTGCAAGAGGGCAAATGACAAGAGTAACATTGGTAGGATGTGTCTTGATGTCATCTATGTAAATAAAAGGGGTAGAACTTTCATCATGATGAGCAACATGGCTTTTGTCATTTTGATGAAGGTGGTGGATCTTGTAGATGCTTTTGCTCTGAAAGATGGCAGTTTGGTGAAGTGTTGGTCAAGACCTGGTTTAGGGACAGTAAAAAGAAGTGTGGCCATTCTTTGAAATGAAAAGAACATCCTTTCTTGGCAGTATATCACTTATTGTAAACTGCTCAATTTCTCATACTTATTTTTGATTACTTGCTATTCTATAAGAGCTGTGGTAGTGCAGTGGTTAGAATGCGGTATTACAGGCTAATTCTGCTGACTGCCAGCAGTTTGATTCTCACCAGCTCAAAATTGACTCAGCCTTCCATCCTTCCGAGATCGATAAAATGAGGACCCAGATTGCTGTCGGCCATATGCTGACTCTGTAAACCACTTAGAGGGGGTCATAAAGCACTGTGAAGTGTATATATGTCTAAGTGCTACTGCTATTGTTATCCTATGGGAAATATGCCTTTCACTAAGAAACTCACTCAGCTATATTGTAGCCTATGTCCACACAGAGCCATTGCCACCGACCTTTCAAATGGAATGGATATTTATTTTATTTTTATTTGTATGTGAACCTCTTTGTGAAGCTGGTTATACTGCAAGCAGGATATATTTAATTGTAATAATAACCATCAGAGCAATCAATTAAGAAACTGGGAGACTGTGCATTCTAGTCCTGCCTTAGGCATAAAGCCAGCTGGGTGATCTTGTGCCAGTCACAGCCCTAGAAAGGAGGCAATGGCAAATCATTTCGGGCAAATCTTGGCAAGAAAGCTGAAGCGACTTGTCCAGGCTGTCTCTGAGAATTGCATGTGACTGAGCAGAGAAAAATAATAGTAATAATCTTAACAATAATGATGTATTTTTTTTCTTCAAGCCAATCTGGGAGGTCTTAAAACATTGCAGCAGGTCCAGTTGCCATTGATAGACACCATGACCTGTGATGCCCTCTTTCACATTGGTACGAATACCAATTCTTCCGTCAGAGAGATCCAGGATGACATGTTCTGTGCTGGCTATGCAGAGGGAAAAAAGGATGCTTGTCTGGTAAGAGAGGATGTTGATGGACATAGTCATAGGAATGGCATTTTCAAAGAACACTCAAGAATAAAAAGAGGCTAAGAGTGAACTAAAGTGCCTAACCTTATTTGTCATGATATAAAATCCTTTTTGAACAGAGAGGGATGCACCTACTTCTGAGATGATTGAAGATTTTGGCTTTTTCTTTCTTTTTCTCGTAGCACTATGGCATTTTCAACAGAGATTTCTGCTTCTTTCCTGTACTTCTGGGAACAGCCGTGTGGCTCTGTGATGTTATGAGACGCATGGCTATTCCAGGAAGTATCTGAACTGGCCTTTTAGCAAATTTATTTAAGAGTACAACAAGAATTTTCTGATTGTGTTTTCTAATAGGAATATTAGTTCAGCATATTTTAGGTCTTTTCCCTTGATTGCTAATAGGTGTATCACTATGGTTTTTCTAGAGCTGAGGAGAGGGCAGTTTTCAAATCCTTGTAGGCAATATTGCAAAGGTTTCTTAATATTCTCTTTATGAGTTTCTCCTGGCAGAGGATCAGTTTTCGGGCGAACTGGTAGCGGCAGCGGTGGGAGCCTCTGCCAACCCACCCAGATGTCATCAAAAAGCTCTGTGCATGCGCACAACCTTCTGTGCATGAGCAGAAGTGAGTGTGCACATCCACACGCTCCCAATAGCGAACCGGTAGCGCTGGGATTTGAAACCCACTACTGCAGAGAATCCATCAGAAAATGGTGGATTGTGTTGGTAAAATTGTAGTATTATAATGTTTTCATGCTGGTCCAGGCTATGCACAAAAGGAAACAAGTAATCTGTTATGGACAGAGGGATAACATAGACTCTTATTGCTTACTTTTCCCAATCAGGGTGACTCCGGAGGTCCATTAGTCTGCCAAGAGGATGGTTCCTGGTTTGTTGCAGGCATTGTGAGCTGGGGTGATCTGTGTGGTGTCTCCAACCGCCCAGGAGTTTACACCCGTGTTAGTTTTTATCAAGACTGGATTCAGAATCACTACCCTAATGTGCAATTTGGTCTTGTGAATGTCACTTATTACCGAGTTGCTTCATCTCAACCTGCCTCAAGCCAAGTCCTCAAAAGTTTCAATTTCATTCTCCAGCTTCTGATTTCCTGCTTTATCATCATTTTCTGAGACAGATTGGGAATCAGACATTCTATGCTTTTATTTACCAAGTTGATTTTTTTATGGAAAAATAAATCTTAACCAAAATTTCCTTGGAACAGCAGCATTATCCACTAAAAAAGACATTTATGGAAGTTTAAATCAGCTTCTATTCTTGATGTGGCATTAGAAGTCCATTTCTCCCAAATGAATGGATTGTGAAATGTGAAGCTTATATATTTTTTAATCTTTCATCAAGTTCAACAATAGCCTATTATGGATTTTTAGGGCATTAGAAATGTGAAGAAATATTATACTGGCGAGAGAGTCAGATTTCTTCATTTTGTTCTGTTCATCTAACTCTCTGAAGGAGAACAAGAGCTCTTACGTTTGTTTCTCAAAGGTGCTATTCATGTCACATAGTGAGACTTACCATCTCACATACCAAAGGGCTACTTTTTATTAAGAGCTTCTTTCCAAAGATAACAGGAAAAGGAAATATGGAAGAGCCACCCTATTCAAGTCATATTGTACTTTCATAAAGGCTTCTGGATAGCATTTGGCTGGCACTGATCTAACCCAACAGTTCTTGTTCTGAATTTGAAATGGTGAGGGAAGTGATGTAGTAAAAGAGCTAAATGAAATCTTGTTCCATTAGCAGACTAGAGTTTATCATCTGAGGAAACTCATTTTGCCACAGTGTCTACCTCGGACTTAGCCTTAGACTTGATCTATCCATTCAGTTGAATGAAATTGTATGATCTTGAAGTTGTAGAATGATAGGTAGATCATACCACTTGAAAATGCAGACAGAGAAATGCTTTTGGTAATCTTCACACATGCCTCGCCGCCAAATAATACATTAAGACGACGAAGAAAAAATGAAATAGATCCATAGTGGCTTTTTGTTGATAACATATTGACATGTCTCTGGGAGTATTAGAAATATTGGAAAATATGTGGTGTGTATCAATTGGAAAGAAGACTGGGCCAAGAATACTTTTTAAAATCTATGTCTGGGATTGGAAGAATTGTTAGGAATAATTTAAATAATAACTGGAGAAAATACTACAAAAAACCCACAGAACCAAATCTTATTGGACTTTTTATCAACACATCCAGCTAAGTATTTCAGGTATGTATTCTTATCACTAAGTTGGGTTTTATGGGAAAGAAAATATGCTTTTGATGAGAAAATATGCTTTTAAGGACAAAGTGCAGATGAACAGAGATTTTGCCAGGTTTCTGGTACACTTATGGTATAGTCATGTTTTCAATTTCTTTGTGAAGAAAATAAATAATTTGTAATTAGGTAATTACAAATTACCTAATTACAATTTTCTTGGCAGAGTTATGGAAATGGTTAGCTGTTTCCTTCTGGATTTTCTTTTCAACTTCCCACTTTACCCAACAAACTTGGGACTTCCTGGTAGTTCTAATTCCAAGTAATATCCTGGTTGTTTTTTCAGATCAACAATGTATTTTCCTCAAAAAAGCTGGAGGTGAGAATGCTTCCAAAGCAGGTTTTTGAGTAAACAAGACATGCTAAATCCAGTGGTGGGTTTCAAATTTTTTTTACTACCGGTTCTGTGGGTGTGGCTTAATGGGTGTGGCATGGCTTGGTGGGCGTGGCAGGGGAAGAATATTGTAAAATCTCCATTCCCACCCCATTCCAGAGAAAGGTTTCTGCAAAATCCCCATTTCTTCCTGATCAACTGGGACTTGGGAGGCAGAGAATAGATGGGGATGGGGCCACTCAGAATTTTTACTATCAGTTTTCCGAACTATTCAAAATTTCCGCTACCGGTTCTCCGGAACTGGTCAGAACCTGCTGAAATCCACCTCTGGTTAAATCCCAACATCTGATAAACAAATGAAAGTGTGCTGAGATTTTATTCCCCCCATCATATGCAGGTTTTTAAATCAAAGTTTAAGTTTACAACTGTAAACTGTATTTGGACTGTAAGTAGATTCAAGCCAAACAATGTAGCTAAATGTATTTGTAGGATACAAACTTCAGCATTTTCAAATCCAGAATATGATTTGGGGATGAAATGATAGCATTAATCTTCAGGTTTTGGCTAAAGAGACATTTGTTCACTAGATGTTTGGATTTAGTATGTTATGCAGACACACCCTATGAAAGAAGAGGGTTACAACTGAAAGCATTGTTTTGTTTCTAAAAATGTCTGGAATGATAATAAAATCAATTCGGAGACCTGGTTGGGCCATGAGGGGGGGGGTTCCCCTCGTGGAGATGTGCCCATCAGGCTTCCATGCATTTCATCAGCCGAGAGCTCAGGGCAGGGGCGGGGGGTGGTGGCGGTCATTATAAGAGAGAGTCTTGATCCGAGGGAGACCACTGTGCCTCAGATAGCCGGATGTGAGTCCCTTTTCGTGAAGTGGGGTCGTGGGGTGCAGACGGGTCTGTTGATCACGTACCTGGCTCCCTGCCACGTGGCGACGACCCTGCCCGAACTCCTCAATGTTATAGCCGAGGTGGCGGCTGATACCCCCAGACTTCTGGTCATGGGGGATTTCAACTTGCCATCCATTAGTGAAACTTCTGAGGTAGCTCGGGAGTTCATGGCTTCCATGACGGCCATGGACCTGACCCAAGTAATTCACGGACCTACTCACATGGGGGGACATACTCTGGACTTAGTTTTTGTCTCTGGTCAGTGGTTGAGTGGCCTTGATATAGGGGATATAGATACTGAACCCTTGTCATGGTCTGACCACTCGCTCCTTCAACTTGACTTTCTGACCGCCGCACCCCGTCGCAGGGAGGCGGAGCCGACCAGGTGGTTCCGCCCCAGGCGCCTGATGGATCCTGATAGGTTCCAGATGGAACTTGGGCCATTTCCTGAAACTCTAGCTTACGACTTGGCTGATGACCTGGTGGCCGCCTGGGATAGTGCGGCTGCCGGGGCTTTGGACCGGGTTGTGCCTTTGCGGCCTCTGACCTGGCACCGAACTCACTTAGCTCCTTGGTTCTCCGAGGAGCTGAGAGAGATGAAGCGCCGGAAAAGACACCTAGAGAGCGGTTGGAGGGCCAGCCGTTCCGAATCCGACTTGACACTGGTAAGGTCTCATATTAAAACCTACCTAGTGGCGATAAAAGCAGCGAAATCTAGCTATTTTGCTGCTCTTATCGCGTCATCAGATAACCGCCCAGCCGCCCTGTTCAGGGTGACCCGCTCCCTTCTCCATCTGGGAGCGTGGGAGGACCCCTTGCAGGGCCGAGCTGAGGATTTTGTACAGTATCTGGATGATAAAATAACTCAGATTCGGGAAGACTTGGCCACTGACTGGGTTAGTTCAGGCGAGATGACTGAGGCAGGCCTTGAGAATGTTATCTGGGAGGAGTTCGATCCTGTGGCTCCCGAGGACGTGGACAGGATCTTGGGACGGCTGAACGCCACCACATATTTATTGGACCCGTGTCCCTCCTGGTTGGTGCTGGCTTCCCGGGAGGTTACACGAGGCTGGCTCCAGGGAATTATCAACGCTTCTTTGAGTGAGGGTGTCCTGCCGGCCGCCTTGAAAGAGGTGGTGGTGAGGCTCTCCTCAAGAAGCCATCCCTGGATCCGGCTGTTTTGACTAACTATCGTCCAGTCTCCAACCTTCGCTTTATTGCGAAGGTTGTTGACAGTGTGGTGGTGCGACAGCTTCCACAGTACCTGGATGAAGCTGTCTATTTGGATCCGCTCCAGTCCGGTTTCAGACCTGGGTACAGCATGGAAACGGCATTGGTCGCGTTGGTGGATGATCTCTGGAGGGCTCGGGATAGGGGTTACTCCTCTATCCTGGTCCTGTTAGACCTCTCAGCGGCTTTTGATACCATCGACCATGGTATCATGTTGCGCCGGCTGGAGGGACTGGGAGTGGGGGGCACCGTTTTGCGGTGGTTCTCCTCCTATCTCTCCGACCGGTCGCAATCCGTGTTGACAGGGGGGCAGCGGTCGCCCCCGAGGTGCCTTGTTTGTGGGGTGCCACAAGGGTCGGTCCTCTCGCCCCTCCTGTTCAACATTTATGTGAAGCCGCTGGGTGAGATCATCCGTGGTTTTGGGGTGGAGTTCCATCAACGCTGATGATACTCAGCTGTACATCTCCACCCCAGGCCATCCCAACGATGCCTTGGAAGTGATGTCCCAGTGCCTGGAGGCCGTGTGGGTCTGGATGGGGAGAAACAGGCTTCGACTCAACCCTTCCAAGACCGAGTGGCTGTGGCTGCCGGCGTCCCGGTATAGCCAGCTGATGCCATCGCTGGTTATTGGGGGTGAATCATTGGCCCCCACGGAAAGGGCCCGCAACTTGGGCGTCCTCCTGGATGCACAGCTGTCTTTAGAAGGGCATATGACGGCCGTGGCCAGGGGGGCTTTTTATCAGGTTCACCTGATACGCCAGTTGTGCCCCTTTCTGGATTGAGACTCCCTACGCACAGTCACTCAAGCACTCGTCACCTCTTGTCTGGACTATTGTAACGCTCTCTACATGGGGCTCCCCTTGGGGTACACCCGGAGGCTCCAACTGGTGCAGAATGCGGCCGCGCGGGGGATTATGGGAGCGACTGGGCGCTCCCATGTGACTCCTCTCCTGCGCGAGCTGCATTGGCTTCCGGTGGACTTCCGGGTGCGCTTCAAGGTGTTGGTGATCACCTTTAAAGTGCTCCATGGCTTAGGGCCAGGGTACTTACAGGACCGCCTTCTGCCACCAATAGCCTCCCACCGGCCAGTTCGCTCCCACAGAGAGGGCCTCCTCAGGGTGCCGTCGGCTAGACAATGCCGGCTGGCGACCCCCAGGAGGAGAGCCTTCTCTGTGGTGGCACCTACCCTTTGGAACAATCTACCCCCAGAGATACGAGTGATCTCCGACCTCTGGACCTTTCGTCGGGCCCTAAAAACTCATCTCTTTCAGTTAGCTGGTCTCTCTTGATTTTATGATTTTATGGTTGGTTTTAAATTTTGATATGGATTTTAAATTGATAAATTTTAAACTATGGGCCAAATTTAATTATTTTAAATCTATTTTTAATCGTACTTATGTATAAATATTTTTTATTTTGGCTGTTCACCGCCCTGAGTCCGAAAGGAGAAGGGCGGTATAGAAATTTGAATAATAAATAAATAAATAAATTAATTAATTAATTAATTAATTAATTCAATGTCTCTATAAGGCTGGGATGGGTAGCTCGCAGTACACATAATGAATGTAGATCAGTTCCTTTGCTTGGTGTCAGAACCCTGAAGGTGGTAATGCTAACAATTATGATAGAACACTAAATTTTGACAGTATAAGTTAATCCCTCCACCCCAGCAGGAAAATACTAATCTTCTGATAGATATTTTACAAATGTTCCTTGAATCCCAAAATTATTTTATTAAAAATAATAATAAAAAGTATACAATACCAAGATAAGAGTATATTTATTTATTTTATTTATTTATTGGTTCGATTTATATGCTGCCCTTCTCCAGAGACTCAGGGTGGCTTACAATGCATTAAGCAATAGCCTTCATACTTTTTTGTATATACCTGCTTAGTAGGGCTTTCGCCCCCCCCTAAGCGGTGTTCTTTTTTATACAAAGTCAGTTTATTGCCCCCACAATCCGGGTCCTCATTTTACCTACCTCGAAAGGATGGAAGACTGAGTCAACCTTGAGCCTGGTGAGATTTGAACTTGCAGTAATTTCAGGCAGCTGGTGCTACTTAACAGCACTTTAGTCTGCTGCACCACCAAGGCTCTTTTATATATATATGTATCTCATAGTGGTGGGTTGCCCCTGGTTTGGACTGGTTCGCAAGAACCGGTAGTAAAACTGCTGGGAGGCTCCGCCCACTGACCCAGACATCATCTTAGGTGATCTGCACATGCGCAGAAGCTTCTGTGAATGTGCAGAAGAGTGCGTGCATGGGCACGATGGAAACCAGTAGTAAAAGTAAGTAGAAACCCCCTGCCCCCAATATCTCAAAGTTGAACTGTGGAGTCTTGGTGCTGTCTGAGTTTGGGTGTTTACAGGGCAGGGCAGGACAAGAAACAATGGATGGAAACTGATCAAGGATAGAAGCAACCTAGAACTAAGAAATTTCCTGACATTAGAATAATTAATCAGTGGACCAACTTGCCTCCAGAAGTTGTGAATTTTCCAACACTACAAGTTTTTAAGAAGAGATTGGACAAGTTATTTGTATTGGGTTTCCTGCCTGAGCAGTGGGTTGGACTCAGGGTGAAATCTACTTACCTTCCTTACCGGTTTGAAAGTGCATGTGCTGCGTGTCACATGCGCACGCAGACCCTCTGTGCATTCGCAAAACCTGCGTATGTGCAGAGGGTAAAAAACACATTACTTCCAGGTTAAAACCAGGAAGTAAAGAGACCCAGGTGGGTGGGCGGAGCCTTGCGCCGCCATTGCTACCAGTTCTCTGAACCACCTGCTACAATCGCTACCCGATTGCCCGATATGGTCCAAACCGGGAGGATTTCACCCCTGGTTGGACTAGAAGACCTCCAAGGTCCCTTCCAACTCTGTTATTCTGTTTGCTTGTAGATGTTTTGTTACTAGACCAGGTAACATTTTTTATGCTCAGTGCACTGAAAATGTTATCTAGTCTGGTAATGAAACATCTGAAAGAAAATGACCAAGTTCAGACTCCACAAAAAGGAGGTCCAAAATTATTCATTTGGAGGATATAATGATAACATCATTATCCTCTTTCCACTGCTCAGAGACTGAAAGAAATAACTCTGGGTGAAATGATTGCCTATCCGTAAGAGAAAAGATTGGTGATTTAAATTTTATGTCATTTTCCAAGGACTGCAAATTACGGCAGTGGTAGATACTATTCATAAGTCAGTCTAGAGTAGTCAGCGGCTTAGTAGTCAGCTTCAGATGAGTAGTTTTGCATTGAAAAATGGCAGAAGAGTCATGAACAGCCATTGAGTTTCATTCTGTTAGACCAGTTTCAACTTTACACCCAGAAGCTGCCATCAGACGCAAATCTGAAGATTAATGACTCCTATTGTAAGACTGTAAAGGGCACTACTTGGGTTGAATGAAAAAAAGAGAGAAAGAGTGAGGAAGTGAGAATGGGTGGGTATTGAAGCTATGTGGATGGGTGATGAGCTTAATTTTCTGTATATTTAAACACAGAATAACAAACACCATATTTTCCAGGGGATTTTCACAAGCCTGTTTTCAACTCTCATCATTTGAAACTATTAGGTAATAACAGCTAGCAGAGTGGCATTATTCCCATTCCAACATATTTGGGTCACCCCAAAGGGCAGTTGTCTCAAATCAGAGAGAAATTGTGTTCTATCTGGATGTCCAAATTCAAGGAGTTTTTTGGGAAGGAAGTAGGATGGTACAAAGGTAAGTAGGTAAGAAAAAATGGAAGGAAGGAAGGAAGGAAGGAAGGAAGGAAGGAAGGAAGGAAAGAAAGAAGAGAACATGGCTGAGAAACAATATATGTCTTAGAAAAACCCATCTATCTTCTATACTGCAAACAATAAATAAGATTCAAATATGTAGCACCATGCTGTGCATTCAGTAAACCTTCACGTCATTTCATGAAATAACTTCTAAGAGTGCTTCAGCCAGTAGCAATTTTGTTTTAAAAGAAGCAATCTCTTCCTCTCCATTTTCAAAGGTAGAGAACAGTAAATACATATTTAAAGCAGGGCTAGGCAAACTGTCATTTAAGCAAAGTGTGAATTGTAATGCCCAATAAATGTAGCTTAGAGGCTCAAAATAAGGGGTGGAGTAGCTGTGCCTTGTTATTTGCTCAGGATTTTTTTTTTTGGCCAGCCACCCAAACTCCATCAATTTATTTTGTTCTATAATAAGCAAGAATAAGATGTGATACTGGCTATCAACTTGGCTCCTTCAAAAAGGGGTTGGATGAATTCCTGAGTGGGGATCGGTGGCTTTTAGCCTTGATGACAGTGGGACAGCTTTGAAAATTATCTGTGGGAAACTACTGAGCTTCCTTGTGCAATTGGAAGGCTACTGTGAGAACAGACTGCTGGATTGGATGGACCAGGAATTCTATCCAGCAAAACACTGCTTCTGCTCTGCTGTTCTCAGGCACTGTTTATCAACCTTGGCAACCTGAATATGTGTGGACTTCAACTCCCAGAATTCCCCAACCAGCCTTGCTGAGTGTTTGGAATTCTGGGAACTGAAGTCCACACATCTTCCAGTTGCCTAGGTTGAGAAATAATGTTCTAAGGACATCAGTTCCTGCTTTTCTCTCTAATTTAATGCACAAGAAACACAGCTCCAAGAAAACTAGTGTTTTTTACTAGTACTTTTTAATGGAAACATCCTAAGGATTCTGGGAAGTGCAAAAATGAGGTAGGTAGACAAACATAATGAATGACCATACCTGGCATAAAAAGTTGGAATAAAAATTTCCTGAGCACATTTACACCAATCCTTTCACACATTAAATTCTGCTTCTGTTTCACTCTGAACATTCTTGATTCCAGCAATATAATTTAATATTTTTTTTAAAAAGAAAAACAACCAGTGTGCTACCGGTACTAGTAGATGTTGATCAAACTTCTGCCTACTATGGTTTTAAGTCACTAACAATGTTGGGAAATTTCTGAATGGAATTTTCTGATGGATTTTGCCTATTCTCAAAAATGCCTTGGAATTTATCTTTTTCTTCTGCATTGACTTTCTGATCTAAATTTCCTCCCCAAGATGTTGGGTGACCCTCACAGGAAAACAAAGGTACTGCAGCATTTTTGGCAATAAGATAGCTTATTTCACCATCACTGCCAAGTAAAACCATCTCTACCAGTAGGAGAAATGAAGTATCTCCTGTTGAATGCTCTTTGGGGTAGAATGCATTGAAGTAGTCTAAACAAAAGGTTACAAGGACACTAGTCTCTGTGAGCAAGGCCTCCTGATCCAGGAAGGGGCGCAAGTGGCACACCACCTGTAAGTGTGCAAAGGCTCTCCTAACCTCTTATCCAGTGCTATCACTAGCTATCACTAGCACTGATGATGTTACCTATCTGGTAATGAATCATCTGCAAAAAAACAACCAAGCTCAGAGAGCATCAAGGACCCCTCATTTTCATCCTGATCTACAAATATTCTCCTTTATTACTTCCTGTTAGGTGTGCTGCTGCATAGGGAGTTGCTATGGACCAGTGGTGAAATCCATTTTTTTTACTACCGGTTCTGTGGCCATGGCTTGGTGGGCGTGGCTTGGTGGGAGTGGCAGGGGAAGGATACTGCAAAATCTCCATTCCCACCCCACTCTGGGGCCAGCCAGAGGTGGTATCTGCCGGTTCTCCGAACTACTCAAAATTTCCACTACCGGTTCTCCAGAACCTGTCAGAACCTGCTGGATTTCACCCCTGCTATGGACCTCTCACAAGAAGGTCCACAATAAGTGTGATGCTCATAGTTTGCCTGGCCATCTAACCTGTTGGAGCGTGACTAGGTAGAACTTTTACATGAGGAAAAAAGTGTGCAAAAGAGAAAGTGGAGGAAAAGATAATTGCTTTTCTTGTTTCAGTTATCTTCTTGAGTTGCAATATATATGCATCTATTTTCAACTGTGATACTCCACTGATTAGTCTGGATAGTATTTATTTATTTATTTATTTATTTATTTATTTTAATTGCCCATGTCAGTCGATGACTTTGGGTGATTTACAATTAAAAAAAATACTACAATAAAAACATTATAAAACAATAACAACAACAACAAAAACCTACTCAAAATAAATACTGTATGTGCAGCAGCCAAGATACTTTGTCAGTTAACAATTAAGCCAGGAAACAGGATCCTTAATACATTCATGCCCCAGGATTGGGAATACAACCAGGTTTTTAAAGCCTAACAAAAGCCTAACAGGGTTGGGGGCATTCTAATTTCCAAGGGAAGGGTTAATGCAGAAAAGGCCCATTTTCTTATCCCTGCCAGCTGACATTTTCTGACTGACAGTATCTGCAGCATGCCCAATCTACTAGATCGAATTGAATAGGTATAGAGACCCTTGGAAAAAGGCAGTCCCTCTGATAACTTGGTCCCAAGCCATATAGGGCTTTAAAGGTGACAACTAGCACCTTCAATGGCACCCAGAAAAACACTGCTAACCAATGCAGCTTACACAGTAGTGATGTTATGTATGATGTATACCTGGTAGCATTTAGTACCTGCACAAACATATTCTGCATCAGTTGAAGTTTCTGAATGCTCTTTGGGAGAATCCCATATAGAATGCATTGCAGTAATGTAAACAAAAGATTACAAGGACATGAGTAATTATGAGTAGGGCCTCCTGGTTTAGGAATGGTTGCAACTGGTTCACAACCTGAAAGTATGCAAAGACTCTTCTAACCATGACTATCACCTGCTCTTTGAACAGGAGCCATCAGTTTAGGAGGAGCCCCAGATTGCAGATCTGTCTGGACTACTGCAACCCATCCAGAACTAAAGCTAGAAGAACTTTTTCTCCAGAGGGTTGTACCCAGTGGTGGGATTCAGCCAGTTCGTACCACTTCGGGAGAACCAGTTGTTAACTTTCTGAGCAGTTTGATGAACTGGTTGTTAGAAGAAATCATCAGGGCAGAAAACCGGTTGTTAAATTATTTGAATCCCACCACTGGTTGTACCCATAGCCCACTTGCTAAGGTTGAGTCAGAGTCTGTTTTACCTCATCCATTTCCCAAAAACTTCTGGACACTGAGATAGGATTTCCATGCATCACTTGAGACTTTCAAAAAAAGATTGGACTGTCATCTGTCAGAAATGGTGTAGGGTCTCCTGCTTGAGCGGGGGGTTGGACTAGATGACCTATAAGGTCCCTTCCCTGTTAATCTGTTAAAGGGCTTGAGGTAGAGATATAAAGCTGGATGTCTTCTGCATAATGATGATATCTCAACCCCCCACCAAAATGATGGACCACCATACCTAATGGCCTCATGTAAGTGTTAAACAGAAGGGGAGAGAGAACCAAACCCTGAAGCACCTTACAAAGTAGGGGCCATAGGCTGGATCGCATTTCCTGCAGCAATTACAGCAATTTTGATAACAAAACCATTTATTAAGTTGCCTAAGTATGAAATGCAATTCTTGGATGGATATATATACCAAACAAATGAGTCATAATATAATCAGGGGCTATTGCATGCCACATATGCTGCCATGTCTACTACAGAACCTGTTCCAGGAACTGGAAAAGTTGTGGGTTCCTCTGTTCCAATCCTCTGCTTCAAATACTATTTTCTGGAGTGGAGAATTCAATCCATGAAAAATGGAGTGGTGATAGCAAGGAGGGTATAGAAATACTCCGGGAGACCCATCAATTTCATAGTATCACACCAAAGGTGGCATGCTGAAGTGAATTCTTCATCACAGTAAAGAAAGAAAAAATAGAAATCCTTTGTTTCTCCATTAACAATTCTGACAATTTTGGTTTTCTTCCAAAATGGAGTATTAAAAAATCAACACAGCTTCCCAGGAGAAAGAACTGTCTTTTCTTTAAAAAGTCTGCTGAGATAATAGCAGTAAAACAACAGTGGCAGCTAAGAGGGAGATGAAACTGAAACTGCCAGTAGAGGCACTGTCACTGATACTATTGTTGTTTACCCTTGACCAACGGGTGTCTCTAAGCTCTGGTATTTGACTGTGGATCCATTTCTGGTAGTACGCCACTCTTGCATAAACTCCAGGACGATTCTTCTGGGCACACCCATCTCCCCAGCTCACTACTCCTGCGATAAACCAAAAATCTTCCATCCGGCAGGCCAGTGGGCCTCCTGAATCACCCTGTGCAGAAAGAGCAGCTTTTAAGCAAAAACATTGGCAAGGACGGAAGCAAATGCTTATTATTAATGCTGCATGTGTAACATAGGATGAAGAATATGGATGGGTAAGTTACTGAAAAACAGCAGAGATAAATGGTTTCTGCTACTTTGAGAGGTGCACTGAAATAGGTTTACTTGAAGTTGAAGAAGTCTATAGTAGATCAATTAATCTACAGGTGTTCAAATTTGGCCCTATTTCTATTCCCCAAAATGTAATAAATCAGAAGTTCCATTTTAATGCCCTGGTAGCTGCTGCAAAAGCTTGACCAGTTTGCAAATGTGAGCGCTCACACTCTCACTTCGCTTGCGTGAAACACCTCCGCACATGCGCAGGACCTTCTGCAATACGCAGAGCATCAAAAATGGGATGTGATGACATCTGGCAGGTGGGCGGAGCCTCCCACCGCTGCTGCCACTAATTCGCTCGAACTGGATAGAACCGGCTGAATACCACCACTGATGCTACAGAAACATTGTAGCAAAGGTCTATGGAGATTCTCAGTCATCCAGGTCATGGTTGTCCCAAAGGTGCTTTTTTAAAAGGCAACTGGACTTTGTGTTTCTTTGAAGACGTTTCACTTCTCATCCAAGAAGCTTCTTCGGTTCTGACTGAATAGTGGAGGATGAAAGGATTTATATTTCTTGCAGTCATCTGGTCATTAGCACTCTTTCTGACAGGCTTGGAAGTTTATCTGTCCTCTCAAGGTAACCTGAATCGTGCAACCACACAGTCCTTTCAGCAGTTTCAAGAAGGTTCTACACGCATTTGCATTATTCAGGTGATCCTGAGGGCACAGATAACCCTCCAAGTGGCCTCAACGACTCCCAGAAAAAGTGCTAATGACCAGATGAGTGCAAGGAATATAAATTGTTCCATCCTCCACCATTCAGTCAGAACTGAAGAAGCTTCTTGGATGAGAAGCGAAATGTCTTCAAGGAAAAACAAAGTCCAGTTTCCTTTTGAAAAAGCATCTTTGGTAATTTTGTAACCAAGGATGACCCAAATATTACTGGTTGATGTCTTATAATTTGATATGGATATGGACCAAAACGTAATCCAGTTTTTATCTTCACTATCCTACTAAAAAGACACATGAGATAATAATTTTCTTTTTATATTTGCGTATGTGTGCCTGCCTTTCAGATAACAAGGAGTAAAGATTCCATATTTAGGTTTCAAAAATTACCTGAAGACAGCAAAGATAATGCTAATTCTTGGCTAATGTATGGTGATTATACAGAGTTTTGCAGCCCAATTATCCTTACTAGAATTATTCTGGAATTCAATATTGACAGCAAATGAAGAAGGTGCCCAAACCTCATGAACTGTACATGTATATTCTAATTAATTTATTGAGTAAAGCCCAGCAAAATCTTACCTGGCAAGCATCCCGTTGTCCAGCTGCAAAGCCAGCGCATAACATATCTTCTTTAATTTCTCTTGAGGACCTGGGCTGTCTAGAGTCCTGGCGGTAGAGAGAGTTGCATTTTTTTGTGCTGATTATGGGAACTTCTAGCTTTTGTAGTATATCAGAGTTCTGCCGTCCTTCTGCAAAGAGAGTAAATTAAGAGATTTCATTTAAAGGAACACAGTAAGATCTAAAAACCACTAGAACATTTTTACAGTCTTTATAGGGATTAAGGTTTGCACATGGAATTTTATGTCTGATTCTTATATAACTTAAGCTGATCTTAATTCTTGATCTAAAAAACCCATTCTTCAATTTACTATCCTCTGTATACAATAGCTCTGGATTAATAAAAAAGATTTTTGCAACAAAATTTTGTATATGCCACCTTTGGGCCTTTATCAGATAATAGGTGAAGAAAAGAAGTTGTCAGGGAAGACTTTTTTAAAATGTTAAATAATAGCTACTCCATAACGTTATGTGATGTTCTACATGCATGATGCACATATACATCAGAAGTGGGTTTCAGCAGGTTCTGATCAGTTCTGGAGAACCAGTAGCGGAAATTTTGAGTAGTTCGGAGAACCGGTAGTAAAAATTCTGACTGGCCCCACCCCCATCTATTCTCTGCCTCCCAAATCCCATCTGATTGGGAGGAAATGGGGATTTTGCAGTAACCTTTCCTTGGATTGGGGAGGGAATGGAGATTTTACAGTATCCTTCCCCTGGAGTGGGATGGGAATGGAGATTTTACAGTATCCTTCCTCTGCCACGGCCACCAAGCCACGCTCATCAAGCCATACCACACCCACCAAGCCACACCCACAGAACCGGTAGTAAAATGTTTTGAAACCCACCACTGATATACATGCACACACATGTATAAAATTATTGTACAACATAAAGTTAAATTCATTTCCTATGTGTAAAAATGCACACATATAAAAATGCAATCATCTTTAAAACAAAAACAGCGTCCTTGTTTGCTCTTTTGCACTTCAATCAATTTTACGCCTTCTCTTTAACGTTGCTGCTAAAATAACAGATTACTAAAAAATTGCTTTATATAAAAGATATTGAATGAGGAAGCAGTGGAATCTATTGTTTTCATTTTTTTTAAGGAAAGCTCTCAGCTAAATAGGGAAAACTAGATAGATAAGGAAGACAATAAGATAGACAATACTATAACCATCATGAGGGATCCTTGGTGCTTTCTGAGTTTGATTGTTTTCTTGCAGAAGTTTTATTATCCAAACTAGGTAACATCATCAGTGCTATAGTCATCATGATAAAAAAAAGTCTCTGTTGGTGTCTTCCAAATGTGTTAGACTTAACTACTTCTGAAACACGGAGACTGGGGAGACTACAGGTGATGAAATCATATCACATATCAGAACGTTGCCCAAACAGACCAAATATGAATATTATATATAGTAGTAGTTGAAGTTCTGTAGGTTGTCTTTCCACACCTACCTTTGCTTCGAATGTTCCCCCAGCCAGTGACCCAACACTTCTGTCCTGGGAGGAAGTTGACGTTGGCACTGGGGACACAGATGGGGCTGATCTGTTGGATGAGAGGCAGTCGCTGCTCCAGCTGGACGAGGGCAATGTCTCCAATCCTTGAATCCCCTTCATAAGCGGGATTGAGAATAATGCGCTTTACGGAGGCTATGATTGAATGAGGCCCTGGGTCTGAAAGCTTCAGTGCTCCAACTAGTACAGTAAAATTAGAAGGATTGTTGATCCTGAGAGACACAAAATGAGAAAAAAAAGACTATGTATGACAAATGGAATTATTTTGGTGCAAAAAAAGATGAGCCCTGAACCAAAGTCCAAAAGAGATCCTTCATTGTTTTTTAATCCCTTTCTCTCTTCCACCCTCTCTCTGTCTCTGTCTCTGTCTCTGTCTCTCTTTCTTTCTCTCTCTCTCACACACACACAATTGGCTTTCTGACACAATTGGCTGACTCTTTCTCTGTATCTGCCAATTCTGCAGCTTTGACTGGGATGAATGGAAAGATAGCTAGAAAATGAAAACAAAAAACAAAAAACCCTGAACATCCCATTGGGAGAGGAGGGTATGTATTGGTAAACACAAGATACATACATTCTACTAGTGTAGGAGGGAGACTGGCTGAACCAGAGAGAGGTATCAAATGGGGAATTAGTCTATATTGGCACAAGAGGACAATCTCTCTCTTTCTCGCTCTTCCCCTCTCTCCTTGTGTGTGTATGTGTGTGTATGTGTATAACGCATACATAAACATACAATTATATCAAGATAGAATTACATTTATATGTTTAAAAATGCACATATATGAAAATACATGCAACCATCAAAACAAAAATTCTGTTCTTGTATGAAGTATATATTTAATAACCTTCCAAGTATCCTGAAGGTTCTACTATTGATCAACAGGATTTATGCTTTTATAATTAATATTTTTCTTAATTTTTAAAGAATCCTAGTTGTATAGAAAAAAAATGAAAAAGAACAACAAAATCAGTGGGGAAAATGTTCTTTGAAAGATAAGCAAAAGATTGCAAAAATAAGAAGTAAAAGTCTTTATTGAGTTGTTTCTTCAACTATGAAGGTAAAGGTTCCCCTCGCATATATGTGCTAGTCATTCCCGACTCTAGGGGGTGGTCCTCATCTCAGTTTCAAAGCTGAGTTTCAAAGCTCATCTCAGTTTCAAAGCTGAAGAGCCAGCGCTGTCTGAAGACGTCTCCGTGGTCATGTGGCCAGCATAACTAAATCCAAAGGCACATGGAATGCTGTTAACTTCCCACCAAAGGTAGTCCCTTTTTTTCTACTTGCATTTTATACATTTTTTTGAACTGTTAGGTTGACAGAAGCTGGACAAGTAATGGGAGCTCACCCTGTTATGTGGCATTAGGGATTTGAACTGCTGAATTGCTGACCTTTTGATTGACAAAGTCAGCGTCTTAGCCACTGAGTCACCATGTCCCTGAAGGTTAAACTAGTCATGATCAAATTTTCAGTTTCATCTTAAACTGATTTAAACGCAGGTTGAAATCAAGTCATTTTGTTTCCCCAAGAAACAGGATTAAAAGATGGCCAGCAGATTGTAGAGTGCATACTTACAGACTAAAACAATGTGAAGCTGTGATGATCCACCGATCTGTGACAAGAGAACCGCCACAGTGATGGTCCCCATTCAACCTGATGCTCACTTGCCAAGGCCACTCTCCATCCCGGGAATCTGTACCCCCTACAATCCGGTTCAGATATCCCTGTTTTCCACAAACTGAGCAAAAAAAGGGAAAGATTTACTGTTCCTGTAGAATTACATGGTATTTCCTGGTTATTTGGATTTTAGATTCTTACTTTTCTATCATCTTGGAATTGTGAAAAGATCTGAAATTTAAAAGGTATGAATCTATAAATTCTTAAGTGTTTTGCTGTCCTATGACCAACCACTTCTTCCTGACCATAAGCCCTATTTCTCCTTACTCCATATTTCCATTTTTTCCTGCTTTAGTTTTTACTTCCGCTTTGGGCCCTCTCATCTACGTTTAGCCAAGACTTTATTCCTAGTTTGTTTTTTATTTGTCCACCCATCCACTTTTTCTTCATAGTCCACATTGCCAATCCAGGAATTAGATTTCCTCTTCAAATCTTTTTCCCTATCCAGCCTCCTTTATACTTTTAAAGAATTCTTTAGGTTCCATAAATGACTTTGATGCTAGTAAAGGCAATATTCAATATTTTTTCAGCTTTAACTGAAGTAAGATACAGCTATGGCATGGTTTCTATTATATAGTTTCTAGATGGCTACACTTCACAGAACATTATATTTGTTCACATCCCCTATATTTTAGTATTTAGTGGGATAATCTTTCTAATCAATAGCATGCTAACAAGTCAATATGCAAGTAGATATAACTGATGCTCACCTCTGGTGGCATAGCTTGGTTCAACATCTAAAAAGAAAGAGATATATAAAATCATGAGAGTTACAGTTTAGATTGCTATTTTAATACAATTGAAATAATTTGGAAACTGCAGTCTAAGTATCACTTATATTTAACCAACTTATATTATTTATTTCATTTATTTATCACATTTATCTGGCTGACCATCTCATAGATGTAATTTTGGGTGATGTACAATTAAAACAAAAAAACCCCCAGAATTTTAAAAACCATTTTAAAAAGTCATTAAAACATAAATATAAACAACACCATGGGAGAGTACATTCAAGGTCTTCAATACATTTCACAAAGTCCCTATTTCTATGGGTCACCCAAAGCTGTGGGTCACTAAAGCCAGCAAAAATGTTGTAAATCACAAATGGTCATTAATGTGGGCTGATTATTAAATGCCCCAAATGCAATCATGTGATCACAGGAAAGGTCTAGCCATTGGAACTTTGAATCTGGATCACAAGTAGCCTTGGAGAAGTCCACCATAACTTTGAAAAGTTGCTAAGTGATTAGTTATAAGTTGAGGATTACCTCTAGAGCCTATAGGAACAGGCACAACTGGTGAACAACACAAAGTTGTGCAAAAACTCTCCAAGCCACCCATGACACATGCTCTTTAATGAAGAATTGTGAGTCCAGAAATATCCCCAGATTGCTCATAGAGTCTCTTTGGGGAAGTGCCAATCCAGTAAAAAATATGGTAAAATCTCAGAACTGGAAGGCCCCCAAACCGAAGTTATTCAGTCTTGCCAGGGTTGAGTTGAAAATGGCTCTTCTCCATCCAGACTCCCATAGTCTTCAGGCAGTAAGAGAGGGTATCAACAGCATTGCTTAGTTCTCCAGGGGCAGAGATATATAATTAGATATCATCAGCATACAAATTATATTTCATCCCACAGTGATGGATGCTTTCACACAGAAGCTTAAATCAGAGCTACCAAGAAGTTTGGATTTTAGATGGTTTAAACATGAACCATCATGTTGTCATTGGTTTTGTCAATGTCAATGAAGATAAAATAGTTCAGAACAATAAGAAGGTCTACAAAGGTTGAATACTGTCACAAATTCATTAACTGAGAACCAGGCTGACTCATTGGGTGAAACACCTTCTTTTTAAAGTTCTCTCTTTTTGGACAGCAGATAGTAGAACATTGACATACCTGGCAAACCTAACCCAACAGGCAACATAACCCAGTAATACCTCATTTGTGCTCTAGGCCTGTCCTTGCATGACCCAAAGTCTGCTCCTCCCCGGCAAAGTTTCTTCTAAGAAATTGTTCAGGTTCCTCTTATAATGGGGATGCCGTTTGATGGCTATCTCCTAAATTAGGCTCCCTCCTTATTTAGTCTTGATGATGACAGTAGGAAGCTTTGAGTTGCCCCAATTGCCCTTAAAAGTTTGGCGTGGAGCTCCTGAAGTCAATTCTAATTAAAGTGTTGACTATGGCAATTAAAAGAATGATTAAAACATGCACATAGAGTAATCATATGTCCCACAAGACCGTTTCATTAAGTACAAATGTAACTGTAATGAAATCAAATTTAGGTGTTGTGCTGCTCATCTCAATTATCCAAGCCTGCCAACTAACCCCCCCCCCCCCATTTTCCCAAAACAGAAAAAAGAAATTGTACACTTTGTTTTTAAATATGTTTCATATTAGTGCCATTGAAAATTTAGTAAATCCTTTCAGAAGCTTAGTACTGCATTTTGCCAGGGAGAGGAGAGGAGAGGAGAGGAGAGGAGAGGAGAGGAGAAGAGAAGAAAAACTAACAAGTCAAGTTGCATCTTGAAAAAAGCACCTTTGGGATGAAAGGGTAGGAAAGGAGAGGAAAGGAAAGGATTGAGCCCTGGTGGAATTTTGGCATTTAATCTAGGATATTGCATATTGCTGGGCCTGTCCCACCTCTCATTAGTGAGAAACATTTGTTTGTACAGGAAATCCATCAATACTTACTTGTCATCATTTGCAGGAGCACCAGTAGCAACAATCTTCTCCCTAGCCCTTGCTGGTGGTGGCCCATAACACCACTGCAGATTTCTTTGTTTCGTTCCTTCGTATTCCTCATACACAAAAAGGTAAGATGTGGTACTCTTACAAAATAAGAAGATTAATTTAGGCTACTCAGACTTTGAATGCTTATATACACACAAACACACACACACACATTTACACACACCCCAGAAGGGCGTATTCATCCTAGGAATCCTGCCAGGTCTTGGTATTTGCCTGCTGGGATAGTTACGAAACCTGCTGAGTAAATGTAACTTGACTATTGCTTCCTTCCTTTCAAGTTACCCATTTCCCTATTTCTAGGTCTATTGTTCCATCAAGTCAGTCCAACTACTGGGATTTTTTTCTGTGCCAATCATCTTCTTTATGACCCTAATATGACCCTTCTTAAACCCAAATCTGATCAATATACAGTACAAACTATATGTGTATGTTTTTCCTCTGCCTGCAGCTAGGAGTTCCTCTTTTGGCTTCTACAGGATAATCAACCAGTCAGTTGCATCCTTTCAACTTGTCCAACCTTCCTTTTCTTACAAAGCTTTCATGGCTCCAGTATTACCTTTAGGGTAGAATTCAAGTTATTTGAAAAGTAGCTGAGATGGGTTCTGGATGATCTTCTTCTTTTTTGGTTCAGAAATTGATAAACACAATCTATAATCAAACGATACAGAATAGTCTATTTTTAACTATTCTGTGGCCTCAGTAATGACTTTACTGATAATTGTAATCTTGTATCAAGGTATCCTAGAGTAGGTCCCATTGAGCTCTAATAGATTTCACTTCAAAGCAAAAGCTGGGGGCATATATAGGAATGTTCTGTTAACCAAATCTTTATAAACTGCTTTCAATATGTGGAATAAATGATGAGACAAGTAGTTTAAAAACAAAATAGTGATTACTTGTCTGCAGTTTCCAGCTCTACTAATCAATACCGTTTCATCTATGGCTATCTACATCACTTGAGCCTTTGAAAAGGCTCAAGGAACCTTTTCAATCTCAGCCCTTGGAGATAGGATGATTGCTTACCCAATTCATTCATTCATTCATTCATTCATTCATTCATTCATTCATTCATTTATCAAATTTATATACCGCCCTTCTCCCGAAGGACTCAGGGTGGTGTCCAGCCAAAGTAAAAACATAAATATAAACATTAAAACCAATTTAAAAAGATATATATATGTTTGGCCCCAAAATTAAAAGAACAATAACAAAGCTATTAAAAACATTTTAAAAAAATGTTAAGCCAGCCTGGCTTGCTGAAAAAGAAAGGTCTTCAGGGCACGGTGGAAGGCACCGAGGTCTTGAATTCTTCATATCTCTGGGGGCAGTTGATTCCAGAGGGCAGGTGCCCCCAAAGAGAAGGCCCTCCCCCTGGGGGCCACTAGTCTACATTGTTTGGCCAATGGCACCCTGAGGAGGCCCTCTCTGTGGGAGCGCACAGGTCAGTGGGAGGCCATTGGTGGCAGCAGGCGGTCTTGAAGGTATCCAGGTCCTAGGCCATGGAATGCTTTAAAGGTGATAACCAACACCTTGAAGCACACCCAGAAAACCACTGGGAGCCAGTGCAGCTCACGCAGGAGAGGTGTTATGTGGGAGCGCCATGCAGCTCCCGTAACTACCCGCGTGACCGCATTCTGGACCAGCTGGAGTCTCCGGGTGCTCTTCAAGGGGAGCCCCATGTAGAGAGCATTGCCGTAGTCCAGGCAAGAGGTGACAAGGGCATGAGTGACTGTGCACAAGGAATCCCGATCTAGGAAGGGCCGCAACTGGCAGATTAGGCGAACCTGATAAAAGGTCCCCCTGGCTACAGCCATCAGATGTTCCTCCAAGGACAGCTGTGTATCCTTGGGAGGATGCCCAAGTTGCGAGCCCTCTCCATAGGGGCCAAGAACTCACCCCCAATAGTCAGTGATGGAGTCAACTGACTATATCGGGATCCCGGAAACCACAGCTACTCAGTCTTGGATGGGTTAAGCCTGAACCTGTTCCTCCCCATCCAGATCCACATGGCCTCCAGGCACTGGGACATCACTTCAAAGGCATCATTGGGATGGCCCGGGGTGAAGATGTACAGCTGGGTGTCATCAGCGTACTGGTGGTACTTCACCCCGAAGCCACGGATGATCTCACCCAGCGGCTTCACATAGATGTTGAACAAAAGGGGCGAGAGAACCGACCCCTGAGGCACCCCACATATGAGGCGTCTCGAGGTCTACCTCTGTCCCCCTGCCAACACAAACTGTGACTGGTCTGAGAGAAAGAAGGAGAACCACCGTAACACGGTGTCCCCCATCCCCAACTCTTCCAACCAGCACAGCATGATACCATGGTCGATGGTATCAAAAGCCGCTGAGAGGTCTAACAGGACCAGAACAGAGGAGCAACCCCTGTCCCGAGCCCTCCAGAGATCATCTACCAATGCGACCAATGCCGTTTCCATGCTGTACCTGGGCCTGAAGCCCGACTGGAATGGATCTAGATAAGATGTTTCCTCCAGGTATTGTAGAAACTGTCGTGCAACCACACTCTCAACAACCTTCACCACAAAATGAAGGTTGGAGACAGGATGGTAGTTGGCTAATACTGCTGGGTCCAAGGAAGGCTTCTTGAGGAGAGGCCTCACCACTGCCTCTTTCAAGGCCGTGGGGAGGTAACCCTCACTCAATGAAGCATTGATAATTCCCTGGAGCCAGCCTCGTGTAACCTCCCGAGAAGCCAGTACTAAACAGGAGGGACACGGGTCCAGCAAACATGTGGCCGCACTTAGTCTCCCCAAAGTCCTGTCCACGTCACCAGGGGTCACAGAGTCAAACTCTTCCCAGATAACAGTCTCAAGACTATTCCTCGCCACTCTGCCCAAATCCTCCCAGTCAGAGTCCAAATCCCCCCGGATCTGTGCGATTTTGTCATACAGATATTGTCCAAACTCCTCAGCCCTGCCTTCCAGGGGGTCCTCCCGCACTCCCGGATGTAACAAGGAGCGGGTCACCCTGAACAGGGTGGCTGGACGATTATCTGATGATGCAATAAGGGTGGAAAAGTAATTAAACTTTGCCGCCTTTATCGCCACTAGGTAGGTCTTAATATGCGACCTTACCAGTGTTCGGTCAGATTCAGCGAGACTGGCCCTCCAACCGCTCTCTAGGTGTCTTTTCTGGCGCTTCATCTCCCTCAGTTCCTCGGTAAACCATGGAGCCCCATGGGATCGGCAGCAAAGAGGCTGCAAAGGCACGACTCAATCTAAAGCCCCCCCAGCCGCCCGATCCCAGGCAGCTACCAGGTCATCGACCGAGTTGTGTGCCAGGTCCTCAGGAAATGGCCCAAGCTCCATCTGGAACCTATCCGGATCCATCAGGTGCCTGGGGCGGACCCACCTTATTGGTTCCGCCTCTCTGTGGCGGGGTGTAGCGGTTCGAAGGTCCAGGCGAAGGAACGAGTGATCTGTCCATGGCAAGGGTTCCATCTCTATATCCCCTATAAGAAGACCACCCAACCACTGGCCAGAGACAAAAATCAAGTCCAGAGTGTGTCCCCCCCTGTGGGTGGGGCCATAAACTAACTGGGTCAGATCCATGGCCGTCATGGAAGCCATTAACTCCCGGGCCATCTCGGAAGTTTCACCAACGGATGGCAAATTTAATGTTTTTTAGCAAATTAATTCAAAGATTTGATCTGAATATCTGAATTAGAATGGTTCTCTAAACCAAATTAATTATTTGAACAGGATTTTGCCTTGTTTACATACCCCTAATATCATCTATATGGTTGACTTGGCCTTCCATCCTTCCGCGGTTGGTAAAATGAGGACCCAAATTGTTGGGGGCCATATGCTGACTCTGTAAACTGCTTAGAGAGGTCTGTAAAGCACTGTAATGTGGTATATATGTTTAAGTGCTATTGCTATATATATTTAACATCTTTTTCATTCCTATGGCATGAAAAATGAAACAATAGTCAGCATTCCACTTATTTTTGAAGCAAATTTTTATTTATATTACATTAAGCATTCCAGTAAACTTTTAATGGCTTGATTTGTCTACTACTTATGTTTTTGTAGAGTAATGCAGAGACTGAGGGCTACAATTCGGACAGAGAATTTTTGCTGGGGTAGAATTCTTATGGAGGAAGAAGAAATGGGTTAGTCTTACCTAGTTACTATTTTAAAATAATGTCCCCCAAATTGATGCTTCCTAGAAGTGTTGCAGCTAAATTCACATGGACATGGCTAATAGCTCTGTTGGTTAGGAATTCAGAGAAAAATTGTTGCAACATTTCTGGGGAAAACATATTTTATTTCACAGGATTTCTATATGGACTGCAAAAAACCTAACAGCCACTGGAAAACAGTTATTTAGTTGGTCATCTGATATTTTGAAACCCAAATACAATACAAATATATCTACTATTCAATTCTACAGAATTGAACTACAGAGTCATAATTAGTAATAGTCTTATGAGCATGTGTGCACACATAATTAATAATTATTGAATTATATCATTATTGGGAAGCCTGCTAGAGAGACAGTTGAGTTGATAGATGATAAGATAATGAAAATATTAAAGATTAATATTGACCATACAGGGAATCTGAATGAATTCTTTGTCTCTTTTTTTCACATGGAAAAGAAGTCTGAACTGATATTTTTAGAAGTAGAATAGGAGGGATTGCGTCAAATATGCTAATGAAAAATGGGCATTCTCTCCAACATTCTCCTAAGTTGCCAGAGAAAATGATTTTAATTCCTGTGGAGGAAGAAAAGCACAGCCTGAATGGCTACCTTAAAAAAACCTAAGAATCTATGCTAAAGGGAATCAGCCTAGAAAAACTCTTGAAAACAATAGGCTGAAGGGTGAATATAGAAAATAAACAAATCAAAACTGATTTCTTATTTGGAAGAATAAGCCAATGCATGGTCAATATTTGAACAATGTAGAAGGAAAAACTGATAAATCCTACAGGGAGTATTAAAGAAAGAAACTGAAGGCTTTATTTTAGTGGCTCAAAAACAAAAGCCTTGCCAACTGACTGCATGAAGGTGAACATGCAGCTAACAATTGCAAATGTCACTTTTGTAGTGAAAGGAATGATTAGTGGCTGCAGCAA